TTCCATTCAACTCTGTGAATGTGCTCAGCGGAAGAAGAGAGAGAGAGAGCGTATGTGTATGTGTGTGGATGAGAGTTGAGAAACAACACACAGAACATAAAATGGAGCAAAACACGAAGCAAAACATCAAATCAAAGGACTCTGACAAACAGACTGCATGCTTTCACTCCCGTAGACGGCGAGGAACAGAGCGCATAGCGAAAGAATATAAAGCCAAAGATACTGCGAGACAAGAGATATGGACCCAGAAAACCAAAGCAAGAAAATGAAAGACAAAATAGACACTCACATGTAAACCCCTCCTCTCCCGTCCCTTTAGGCTGAACGGATAGCTGATATACTGAACCTTCAGAGAGAGGAAGGGGGGTATTAGACAAAATAATATGAATGTCAAACAAAAACAGCGAGATGTGATTTGGTGATGTGAGACCGAAATGCCTAAACAGAAGATACATGAGAAACTGAACATGCAGATGCTAATTCATGTGAAATCTCACGACGGAGGGAAACAACACACTGTACCAACACATACCAGCTGGAAACATCTAACAGTCAGGCTCCCCTGGTGAGATGGTAATCAGGTAAACATGTGGTTATCACAATTTTGTCACACTTATGGTGGAAATAGTTTCAAACTGCAGCCAATCTACAATCTCGTGATGTAGACTAGAGCAGATGAATTGCAGACAAGCTAAAACTGACAAGCTTTTTATTTAAGCTGATATAAATTGTATTTTTGCCATATTCAACTACGCGATAGTTTGGGGTCAGTACTTTAGTCGTTTTTTTTTATTATTCAGCAAGGACATTACATTGACAGTAAAGACCGAAAGAACGTTCTATTTATCAAAGAATCCTGAAAATGATGTATCACGATTTCCAAGCACTTTTTAACACTGACAACAATACATTTCTGAGCAGCAAATCAGCATATTTTTGAAGGATCATGTGACACTGAAGACCGGCTATATAAACTGAACCAAAATTAAATGTGTTCAGGATTCTGTATCAAGTACTGTATTTGTGGATTTTCTAGACTATTTTAAGCAGGATATAATAAAATTTTAGCGTATGGCTTCGGCAGGCATGTACAACGATATTAAGCTCACAGATATATACACTAGACCTCACCTGGGGGTTCTAAGCATGCGTCAAAACCGCCGCCATCTTGGAACAGGGGTCTTGTCATAGGAAGTAGCTAGGTAACGCTGCTATCTCTGCCTTTACTTCGAATTCATTGATGGTGGCGGACTTTTGTGCAGCGTATGATGTTCGCGGATGAAATCTGAACTTCATCCGAAGAATGTTTAAAAAAAAAAAATAAATAAATAAAATAATAAATTTTCTTTCTGGAATCAATGATAAATACTTTGTACATGTCTGACCGTTGGAACAAACCAAAAAAACAAGAAAAATCGCATTCATGATGATTTATGGTGATTTTATTTGCGTTAGACCTGTGTCTACTACATTGACGCTGATGCATTAAAGTGGAGGGGCTCCCCTGTTTCAAGATGGCGGCTCTATTGACGCATTCGTTCTAATGAACTGCCGTATCCAAGGTGAGGTCTAGTGTATATGTCTATGTATTAAGCTGAGCAGAGAGTGCCTTAGTCCTACCCAGCTCTACGGCGCCCCACAATCATCCAATGTAAATCTGTGGTGAAAAATGGAACTGCAACGTGCTCTGATTGAGAGCCATTGGGGCTAATTTCAAACTGCCCGCAACAGGATTTTGAACACGGTCCTGAAGCCGCCTTTCCACTGCACACGACATTCGCATACGATTGTCGTATTTCGCCCCCTGGTGTCAGTTGCACGGAACTTTGAAATTGGTCGTGAAGCAACCGTTACCCTCGGATATTCACAATGGTAAAATTAATGATTTTAATTAATGTAATGCATGCATAAATATCTACACAAAACAAATGACCCTCAATACATCTCAAATAAAAACATAGTACATTTTATAGAGCTAATTAATATATTGATTTAATAATTATAAAATATTTTTTTCTGCTATAGTTAATTATAACCAATATTTTACAGAAAGAGTGTTTACAGAAAAACATTAAAGAGTTCAAATATTTGTAATTCTAGCCTCGCACTCATAGTTTTTATTAGAATACATCACTTCCGGTTGGCCGGTCGCATACGGTCTAGCCGCAGAAGTTCAGATATTTCAACGGATCCAAAGCTCAAATCGGATCCGAATTTTCCGCACACGCATATGATCGGAACGCCGCCTTCACACTGGCAGTTGAAATCAGCTCCGATGCGGCTGCGAAACGACCGGAAGTCATTCATTTCCTATGGAGATTCGCAGACCGCATGCGAATGGGTCCGAAACGGGTCCGACCGAGTGCGGTGCGTAGAAAATCGTGTCCGTTGGTCATCCGGATACGTTAAAAAATTTGAACTCGTGCGAAAAGCAACGGACGGTTCCTATCCGACAATTCCAGCGGAAGTTGAGCGTTGCTATGGTACTGATAAACAAACCTGAATTATTAACTTTTAATAAAATAAATTATGATTTTATTACGATAAGTTGTCATGTCATTTTTTATTTTCATGACTTTCAAACGTTTATAAGGGCAGTTAATACAATTAAATTGAAGGTAGACATTGAACTATTGACCACTATATCACATATTTTAGCCGACATGACACGTCAACGTATCATCAGAGAGATCATACAGAACTGACAGAATCAAACTTTAATGATAAAAAAATAAAACAGAATCAAACTTTAATCTCTCCGCCATTTTTGTTCTACCCGTGTCCGACGCTTTTCACTGTGCAGTACGACGTCCGTTGGGAACGTATTGCGTATTACGGAGCTGATTTCAACTGCCAGTGTGAAGGCGGCGGAACTCCCCGCAGCTCCCGTACGACTCTCCGTTGGAAATTAATGACTTCCGGTCCGACGGCGGTCGTTTGTCGTGTGCAGTGGAAAGGCGGCTTGAGGCGTTGCTGGGCGCCGCGGACAGACGCCGAATGGCGCCGCCAGTATGTGTACACTTACAGATAATAATGTGTTCGAATTTTAAAGATGTGGCGCGACGCTGCGCTGAGCTTCTCGTCCGGTGTGCGACCCCCTTAACGTTAATTTTGTGAAACTGTAGCTGTGGTTGAATACTTACACGACATGAAAAGATGTGTCAAATGTACATTAAATTGATTTTTTATTTTTATAAAGTTGCCAAAAAGAAGGACCAACCACGTCAACTCCTTGCAAGAGACCTGCCCCTTCAAACCCTCTCCGCCATAGCTTCGTCCAGTGACTCGTACAGTAACTAATTTACTTTTAAACCTGACTTTTCTTGCGGTTATTTCAGTTTAATGAAAAACAAGCGTGTCATTAAACGCAACATTTATAGAAATCGAACTTTACCTCATCCATGACAACTAATTTTCGATTCCCGTCTGACTGATTTATCCACGGTGGAGTTGAAAACAACAGTTCCCATCATTCCGCGTTCCTCCACGTCGTCTTCAAGCAAAGCCGTTGTTGTTGTTTTGAATGTAGCGCCCTCTAGCGGCACCTAAATCTTAGGTATTGTAGCTTTAAGATTGAGCCACTGTAGACACTCAGACTATTTTAACGATGTCTTTAATAACTTTTGGGCCGGCCAGTTTCGATCCCTGGTGTGATCCAGCTCTCAGATTTAATCAAAAAAATCTTAATTTGTGTTCTGAAGATGAACGAAAGTCTTACGGGGTTGGACATTAAACTAACCCTACGATACTTTTAGGAAAGGCAGCCCACTTGGCAGGTCTGTTCTTTGTATCAAATTAATGAAAGTTTAAACATGCTAATGTGAATAGCCTTGTGTAGTTTAAACATGTTTTATGTTTGTTTTGAGAATAGAATTGTTTTTTTCTTTTCCTCACCTCTAAAACGACATTCGGAGGCAATAAATACTACATTAAGGCAATACTAAGATAGCAGTTCATGCCTGTCAATCAACATAAGAGCATCACCCTTAGACGTTAGACCTGCGCAAAAGTGTGTGTCAGCGATTACAACATAAATCTTACAAAATATTTATCACGAACTAGCGCTAAGACCCAGAATCTGCCCTACCTACATTTACACTCAGGAGCCGCTACTGCTGAGAGACTCGAGTTGAGTGGGGTTAAATGGATTGTGCCTGCTCAACTTTTAAGGGAAAGAACTTTTAAAGTTTAAACTTTAGTGAGGAAGTGCCTGCGGGGGAGAGAGAGAGAGAGACATGAGGTCCATTACACAACACAAAACAGGAGATTGCCTCTCTCTCTCTTTCTCATTTCTCTACACACAGCAGACAAATTAAACTGCCACGCTGATGGCTCATGATTACATACATTCATGTCACCTGTCAGTTCTGTAGAGACGGTCAAACCACTAGTTTCTCACAGATTCTCACCACCAATTTGTGTCCATTGTAACAGTGATTAAATCAAATCAAACGCCATGTTTATGTGCTTTATTACATACAGAAGAAATACACAAATCCACTAATTGCATTAAAGTCACCAAAGAAACAACATTAGCAATGTATTATTTCATAACTTGCATTAAAGGATTGGGTTAACTACGGCCTGCAACCAACAACAAACAGCCTAAAACAGCAGCTGCATTTACATGGACCCTTTTAATCGGATTGACGGCTCATTTGGACTTTTAAACACCTTAATCGATCCGATTGTGTCCATGTAAACGTAGCTAGTGACTAAACAGATGATGACAATAACCAATAATCCACACGGCCTTGGTGAAATCTGCTGAAAGGAAAGCAATTCAGAGGCGGAGGAAGTTTTGTGCAAGATTCTGTGGACAATTTTTTTTTTTTTTTAATAATGACCACTTATGAACTAGATCAAATATTAATTTGAGTAATCGATCAAAAGAGTTCTCTAAAGTGCCTGCCTGTCATATTACAACTTTCTTTAGCCAAGTAAAATTGTATTAATTACTGATAATATTTAATACACAATCTTTTCAATTTGGCTGTATAAATGTTTTTTTTTGTGTGTTTATAGGTTACTAGTGTAAATGTACTGTATGTGCTCATTGAGTTTTAGTCACGTTTTTGTTAATCTTGATTTCTCACAATTTGTGTGTTTTTTCTGGATTGAGATGGAGTGAACTGTGACACAAACAGAGACGTCGTGTAGCCGTGCACAGAAGACCAACGGGCACGGTCAAGATTTAAATAATATTTAATGATAATAATTATATACAGCCAAATAATAATTCAATTTCATATCATAAACCCCTAGAACACTAGGAATATACAACATATGCCACAAGGGATAAATCTGTGATACTTTTGTGGGGTTTTTTTTATAAAAAAGACTGCCAATTTATGGATGAGGATGAGCAGGACTTTTTTTAAATTTTATTTTTATTTATTATTTTTTTTACAATTTCTCATTATTTGAAATAAAGCCGAAATCAAGTAAAATATAAATATCAGATGAAAAAAAAAAATCAGCTTAAACGAAAATGAGAAATGTTGATTTGGCAAGTTTAAGTTCTAAAACAACAAACATTTAAATACATATAATAAATTAAAATTAAATATTAAAAGCACATAACAAAATGACTGAAACCTAAAATTAAAATGAAAACTGAAAATATATATTAAATTAAAGCTAATAAGGGTTATTTATCAGGGTTTAGCAGTAGGCGAATATACAGTCAGTGGTGGAGGAAGTACTGAATCTCAGTACTTAAGTAAAAGTACAAATAACCAGATAAATATTTACTTTAGTAAAAGTAGAAGTAACACAATGACAACCATACTTAAGTAAAAAGTAAAAAGTACTTTATTTTAAATGTACTTTAAGTATTAAAAGTAAAAGTACTTGCATAACAATTTATTCTCTTAATGTCTGTTTTCTAATGATTAATAAAACATTTAATTCTAACTCATTCAACCTAATAGCCTACTCCTATATTGATGTTCAATAATTATGGAAAAAAATGTCACCATTTCTGAAACAAGCTTGCAATTAGGCAATATCATGCTTATCCTTACTATATGTTAATAACTATGTTTGGCAGTAAACGCGATTCATTTATGGTGTAATTTTGAACCTCTTGGCTTGCCATAATCCTAACCAAACCAAACATATATTACACACGGTGTGTTTCCTATGCACGTAAAAACAAATTTTCGCGTATGAGTTGCATGATAAACACACTGCGTGTGAGACGCATTTAGTGTGACCGGGTTGATGTATCTATGGCAACCAAACGTCACTGGTGAGAAAAACGTGCAACGAACGGACGGTCAGATTACGTTTTGGCAGGGGAAAAACAGATCAGAAAATGTAACGAAAATGTAACAGAAGTTGTAGAAATGTAGTGGAGTAGAAAGTAGAATAATTGTGTAACGAAGTAAAAGTAAAAAGTATGCACTATTTATTGTACTTAAGTAAAGTAAAGATACGTGGAAAATGTACTTAAGTAAAGTAACGAAGTATTTGTACTTCGTTACATTCCACCACTGTATACAGTTTGTACAGTATAAGAATTATTATTATGTCTATGGAAAGTCCCCATAAAACACGAAAACACAATGTATGTGTGTGTGGTCCTAGTAATCCCAAGACCTCACAAAGATGGCAACATCCGAAATCATTATCCTTGTGGGGACATTTTTTGGTCCTCAGAAATCAGCGTTTAAATGTGATGCTTTGAGTGTGTGTGTGTGGGTGTGTGTGAGAGTGCACTCACTTTGCAGGCAGAGTCCATCAGTGCAGTTCTGCGACAGAAGCGTGACTCCGTCACAGTCTTTTCCTCCGTTCTGGGGTGCAGGGGCGTTACACTCTCTCTTCCTCCACTGTGTGCACTCTGTGTTACACGCCGACCACTTGCTCCAGTCAGCCCACTCGCCATCAACTAAACACACCACAAACAACACAAACAAGCATTAAAGGTACAATATGTAGGATTTTTGCAGTAAAATATCCACACAAAAAAAACACCAGGCCAATGTTATATATTTTGTTTAATTGATTACTTACAACATCCACAATGTTTCCACGTATTTGTAAATCGTGAGAAAATTGCGATTTTAACCAAGGAAACGGGGCGTGTCAGCAGGCATGAGGAGTCGCCAGTCAATGACATCATATCCGCGTTACACCCGGTTTCGGCTCATACTGCCACAGTAACCATGGTGACAGACGTTGACAACTATGCCTAGCAGGACGCTCACGCTGTTGTTGTTTTGTTCAAACATTATGGACCATGGCAAGCAGACTTTGAGACAAAAAAAGGACTAAAACGCAGATGGACATCTTTGGAGATGCCGAGAGCTCCACGTCCGCGACTAACTTCGACAAGTGTTGCATGTACTTTATTAGACAGGTGAGCAAATGTACTTTAAACTAATCAATGCTATTTAGTTCAACATGATGAAATGATCTGTATGTTATTCTAATATTGATCTAGCTTAACGTACTTAGTCGCATAGACAACACACAACCTATCTAACAACATTCAACACACTCAAATGGCGTTTAGTGTGATAGCGTAAAAGTCGTTACCTCAAGTTTACTTCCTCTAATAAACTGACCTGTGTGAGGAGTAATCCAGCACTTGCGTGTAGTTCGGTAGAATAAAATGTCCTTATTCTTCTATATATAAAACATATATATCCGCGGGACTCGCGTTGTGTGTGGCGCTCATAGTCTAGCAATCGCGCCCTGCTTTACACCACAGTCATGATAAAAACATCGATGTATTCACTCCATCAGCTTGATGACAAGATCCATAATTCAGCTTAATGCGGAATATACGTCATCAATATACACGTTTGTTATTGTAAGAGGTTAGCGACCCCTGGTGGCGAAAAATCCTGCATATTGTACCTTTAAAATACTGTGATACACACTGATTATTTTTATTAAGGAGGCAATATTATATCATTTTTATTATATTTCTTGTCCATTAGAATGTTATGGTCAAGGTAGTTTTAAATGTTATATATATATATTTTTTTAATATGTTATATATAAAGACTATTAACTATATGTTAATTAACATTGTTATGACTGGCCAAGCTCTTTGCATGTGAAATGAGTAACAATGCATTGGTTTAGTTACACACAAAAATGTAACTAGACCAAAAATAAATAAATAAATAAATAAATAAAATAAATAAAATAAAATAAAATTTTTATTTAATAAAAAATAAAATAAAATAAAAATAAAATAAAAATAAAATATAAAATAAAATATAAAATAAAATAAAATAAAATAAAAAGCATTTTGGGTCCATGGCTCTGCTGTGGTGTAGTCTGGTTCTCAGCCTGTCTCTGGATTCTGTCAGCGGGAGTAAGTGCACCGCTGTATATGGGTCAGTCATTAGCGTGTGACTGTGGCATCTCTCCTGCTGGGTTCAGATGCTTTAATCTCACCTGCTTCACAGCGAACTGACTCTCACCGGCAGAGGGAATGGAAATGTGTTCGGCCCTTAAGGGCCCCAAGGGGCCAAAGTATAGGGGAAGAGTCTGGCTTGAAAGCTGAACTGATGGGCCAGGAAAAGATGCATTTGTCTGATGCTATCAAGAGGCGAAGAACTCCAACTGGACTGGAAAAGAATTAAGTTTTTATGAAAGGAATTCCTCACTTGTAATTCAATAGTCTCAGAGTGAATTTTCCATCCTTCTGATTATGGAAGGAATTTTTCATTTGGAAGTCACTTTGGATAAAAGCGACTGCCAAATGAAGAAATGTCAATGTGGGAAAAAAAATCTGAAATAATTTCCCTATCGTGTTTCTTTCAGGCTTGAGAACTGACCATATTTACATCATGATGGAAATACTGTAATTCGTTTCAGAAGAGGATCGTGATTAAACTTCCACGTCATGCAGTGCTGTTATTTTTAATAACAACTACAACTAAAACTATTAATATTGTATTTTGTAATTGAAATAAAGCTGAAATATTTTTTTATCTACTAAAACTATTGTAATTGCATTTGATCATTGAAATAAAGCTGAAATAAAATAAAATATTAAATGTTGTTTTTAACTATAACTAAAACTATTAAAATTGTATTTGTTCAGTGAAATAAAGCTTAAATAAAATAAACTATTAGATTCGATTTTTTAACTTAAACTTAAGTAAAAATTAGACATTCATGTAAACTAAATATAATAAGAAAGTACAAAAGTTAGTAAAATACAAAAATTACAAAAAATAATTAAATAAAAGAACAGTAAAGAAATATAAAAAGAAAACAAAATGACTAAAACTTAAAATAAAACTCAAAAAAATAAAAATAATACAATATAAATAATAGCACTGTTGTGATGATTATTGTGACATCATATTGTGACGTCATATCATTTATTTTTATATTTTAATGTTTTGAAATATTATATATTTTAAGATATTTTTGATACGTCACTATATATATCACCAAGTAGCCAACAAATCATGTCTATCTAAAAAAAAATTTTGTTGTTTTTTTACTTCAAAACACTATATTTGATTTTTCATTTATTTTTTATTTTTTTTATAACAATGATGAATTTGATGAATAGTTTCACCACTTTTGTCAGGCATGTTGAATTTATGTTGTCATAAATGACAAACACAATCTCATATAGAGGACTTCATGAGTGATGGTCAGGGTCACAACAAAAACACAAAAAAAAATAAGGCTGTTCGACACAGAAGTACAGGTCAATATCGTGTGCTAATGTCACGTGATAAGCATTTCTACAATTTTCACGACTCATGTTTCGTCTCAGTTGAATGGTCGACGCCTTGACACACAAATGCACTTCTGCCTCGTTTCTGTTCGAGTCAAATTAAACGTGGCGTACCTGTGCACACTGACGTGCAGGAGATCTTTTGGATGGCCTGTCCATCACACGGCGACCCCCCGTTCAGAGGCGCAGGATTGGTGCAGCTACGGGTTCGTTTCTGAAGGCCCCGCCCACAGCGACTGTTACACGTCGACCACTCGGTCCATGTGGACCAGCCTCCGTTCACTACAGAAACAAACACACGGACACACACAATCATGGCTGTGCTAGATTCATGCCCCTCATTTCATTCTTCTCACATAATCATTTCAGCCCAAATCAATATTTCATGTCTATTTGCTCTTTTATTTGGTAAGCAGTCGTGTTATGTGCACGGTGATATTACACTGCAAAATAAACTCATTATTTTGCGATAATGAACGACTGGCTGTACATTATCCCTTCCTCGCATATCTGCATGTAATATTCCCTTTACTGCTGATTTCAAAGAGTTTCATTAAATTGTTCCCAAAAAAGCTGGGGTTTATCTGTCTGGAAACACGGCGACTCTGTAAAGTCTTTCATCTGAAATCCACTTGCTGCTGTTTTAAAATAAAGAAACTCTTTTCTCTGAATTGTTTTGCATTTGCACTTATTCTGCAGCGCTGTTAATATTGTAGACTCCATATGATTTATCGCAGATATTTTCATTTCCATTGAATTTTTGCATCTTTTCTAAGTCACCTTGAAATGAATAAATATAAATGTAATAAAAAACCTTTTGTACTCTTACTAGACGAGGAACATTTTTTTTCATGTTCGCTGGAAGAAAGCAGACTTTAAAGATACACTTATAGAAAATATAATATTGATGAGGTAATAAATGACAGAAAAAAATATTTTCACTCACTCTCTCTCTTTCTATATATGTATATATATATATATATATATATATATATATTAGGGCTGTCAAACGATTAATCACGATTAATTGCATCCAAAATAAAAGTTTGTGTTTATATATGTGGGTGCACTGTGTATAATTATTTTATATATATATCAATACACACATGCTTGTATATATTTAAAAAATATTTTCATGTATATACTGTATATAGATTTATATCTAATTTATATTGTATATAAATATACATATTTCTATATAAATAACATTTTTTTCTTAAATATACATGCATGTGTGTGTATTTATACTGTATATATACAAAATAATTATACACAGTGCACCCACATATATTATGTAAACACAAACTTTTATGTTGGATGCGATTAATAATGATATATATATATATATATATATATATATATATATATAAAATCAATTATATATATATATAATATTTAATCAATTATATATATAATTATATATATATATATATATATATATATATATAATTGATTAAATATTATGTTGCTATTACTGTTTTATAATTATTTTAATGACATATGTAAATATTATTTAATTGATTAAATACAGTTAAAATATTGAAAATGTGGAAAGAAAACTAATGTGGTTAAATAAAATAAAGGTTTATTTTTTAAGACCCAATAGCCAGATATTTTTTAAGTAGCCTATATAAACTCATATAATTTTGATACAAATTTCAGAAAACAAGGCGTAATAATGTAAGTCAGTGTACATATCAAGTAAGAATATTTATATATTTGTACTGGAAAACAAAAGACAAAAGAAATTGAGTAAGAATATATATATATATATTTTTTTGCAGTGTGTGCTGTGAGCAGCTGTGTTTGGTATGTGAGAGTTTAAATTCTAGAGGACGGATCCTTTTACCTTCACACACACACACACACACACACACACACACACACACACACACACACACACACACACACACACACACACACACACACACACACACACACACACGTTTAACTCTTCTGTTGTTGAGAGGTGATGCTCTTCCCATCTGAGTCTTCCGGAGAAAGACACAAAAGCTCTTAAACTCTTAAACTGTGTGACTCCCTCTGCTGCTATTAACTTACCGCACTCCCCTCACACACTTTCCACAGCTGTGTGTGTGTGACTTTGGGTTCATGTGAGGAAGTAGATTAGCTGTAAGTAGATTCCTCCCTTTCCTTCCCATCTTTCTCATTTCAGAGTTATGAGGCCAAACAGCCAAAAGAGTTCTCATTCCAGCGACTCTCTCTCTCTCTCTCTCTCTCTCTCTCTCTCTCTCTCTCTCTCTCTCTTTTTTTTTTTTTTGAAAAAAAATGAAAAACAAAGTGATTATAATGTTGAAAGGGTGTTCACAGCTGCCTATGATCAAATCAAGGCTTGTAATTGATTTTTGTTTTTACAAAGCTATGGATTCCCTAAATGTGTATGAAGGAATATGGTGTCACAGAGGAGCGTTGTGTTCTGTCATTGATAATGAACCGCATTTTTCACTTTTTTTATAAAAAAAAAGAAGTAAAAAAAAAAAAAAGTAATACCTTACATTTGTTTTATGTGAGGAATCTTTTTGATAAATAAAGATGATTGAAAAATCAAAAAAAATCTCTCCCTCTCTCTCTCATGAAGTTCATGTGTGATTCTCACCCATGCAAAAACTCAGCACTCAACACACCTGCCTGCCTGCCAACAGATGCCAAAGCTGTTTGGATGTTGTTCAAATCCTTAAAGGGATAGTTCACCAAAAAATAAAACAATTCAAAATATGTCTTGGAACAAAATGAGAGGATGAATGTGCAAAATGTCTAAAGTAAATAAAGAGTAAATTATTTCTGAATTTTCTTTTTCTTTTTTAGGGGGTGAAACAGCCCTTTAAAGCTAAGCAAGAGCAACAATGATGGTTTAGCAAACACCACTTAAAACCTACAGAAACAAATCACACACACACACACACTGACACACTTGTTTTTTTGGAGCCAAAGCTAACTCATCGCCCAGTATTAGCAGTCTGATCTCAAGCGTGACATCGCTCAGAAAGACCAAACCCCAAAACACTGAGTCACTAAATCCACTTTGATGAGGAGGAGAGGATGACAGGAACAAGCACCAGAGAAAAATCATTTCTTAAGCATCAGATACCATCTAAGACATGCCCACCCACACACCCACACACACACACATGCTTTGAGAGACCTTTAATCAGTGAAGATTACCAATGAAAACAGGGAAGGACACCAAAGCAGCCAAAACCCCAGGAGGGATGAAACTGCACTCACAGCAATCACTGCTCCACTGACTGATGCACCCTAACAAGGGGTCTACCAACCATTAGACTGATTTGTAAAGGTAAAACCAAGTCAATTTCATTATATCCACGTGTAAACCGTTGAGAATGCCTCTAAAATTCCAATTCGGTTCTTGAATTTGAATTGAGGTTGCAAACAGGATGTGGAATTGCAATTCAAACCAGAATGAAAGTAGAATTAAATTAATTTAAATTCAAATAAATTCATTTAACTGAATTTTTCACTAAAAAATCAACTGTTGTTGAGACAGTCCTGCAATGTTGGTCTGACAAAGCTTTGTTCAAAATTTGAAAACGCGAGGCGCTGGAGAGCACAATTCGTTTGAATGCAAAATACGATTTCACTGCTAGATGGATTAATTGTTACTTAATGTCACTTTAAAGGGATAGTTAACCCAAAATGATGTCATCAAGTACTCACCCTCAAGTTGTTCCAAACCTCTATGAATTCTTTCTTTTTCTGAACACAAAAGATATTGTTTGGAGTAGAGCCAGACCGATATTATCGGCCGATATTAGGCATTTTCCAAAATATCGGTATCGGCAGTTATAATGGCCGATAAATTAATATTTAAAAAATAAAATAAAAATGGACGAAACACGCTTCAATCATCTTTCCTTGGCCTGTTATATTGAAAATTTATGTTTTACAATTTGCAGTATGATGTTATCTATTGCTAAATTATGGCTCATCATAGACTAGCTAACCACAAAGCTAGCTAATGCAACTATCATCAGTGGAAGACCGCTAACGTTAACATTAATGAGCTTGGAAACCATAATGAACATTTTCTGCCTAAATAAAGTAATGATTACTGTATTTATAACTAGCATATCTCTAGTTAAAGTCCCTGCATTATAAAATGTAAGTTATACTTGCGAGGAGTGAACATTTAGACATAGAGAAAAAGTATCAATTGTATCTTGTACAGAAAAGTTAGCTTTTCTTTTTTTGAAATCCAACAATATTTAATAAAAAATAAATATCGGCCGATATATCGGAATATCGGATTTTAAAACCCAAAAATATTTGCATCGGTATCGTATTTTTCATTTACAGTACAAGTACCATATTTTAATTTACAGGAATAATACTGTATATTGTATTCATTCAACTACTGTATTTTTATTTACAGTATTAGAGTTGATTTCCTATTACACAATTCAATTTTTTTACGATTTACAGTAAAAAACACAAATTTTCCCATACTCCTTGGCTATTTACAGTATTATACTGTACAGTACATATTACAATGTAACAGTGTACCAGTAAAAACAGATCAAAAAAATGTACGACTCATTTTGCACTACAAAATTCTGTCCTATCAAATGCTCTTTAGACCAGGAATGCCCGTCCTCCAGTAACAACTGTGACCGACTAGCAAAAGCAAGTAGCAAACCGTTTAAAAGTGCTAGTGTACGTCTCCAATTGTCATCCATTTTATTTCACTGAAACAATCGAGATAATAAAGAGATCTCGTCTATGATTGCTCATGCTTGTAGAACACAGAACATGCTACAACATTTACAGAAAACATCAGGCCAAAACATTTTTGCCAAAACTGGTCCGCGCATCAGAGCAACATTCTCACACAGCATCAGCACAACAAAATCATCTGTCAGGAGGACCAAACGGAAATATTACAACTACCGACTGCTTCACTGAAGTTCACAACTGCAAAAGTTTGGAGCACAACACATTTCATGCTTTAGGAATCTAGGTCAAGAACGAGGGCGACTGTTTCAGATGCAAAAACAGGCCATTTTCCATCTTTCAAAAGGATGACAAGCCATTAAACGCTCAGAAGAGCGAGAGAGACGAGTGTTTTACAGATGCAGGAGTAATTGATAAGTGCAGTGACACGCGTGACAGATGCTAAAAACACATGCACACACACTCACACAGATCCTGTCAGAGCGATAATCAGCGGGTGGTGCCGACACTTTCACACGGAGAACTTGTTTGCATGCATTGTCTGCGTGTGTGAGAGGGTATAAAGGGTGTAC